GACTTCAACTATGGTTGTCCATGTAGGAGTCCAGCACCTTAACTACCATACCACCTGCTGGTTCCTTGAATTGGTTTTTCAAAGGATCACTCTGCTAATATATTGAGAATATTTGGGGATGGGGGGAAAGTATATGCAGAAAACCAATAATTAGCAAACTGTAATAATAATCTAGGCAAGAAATAATTAGTAAACTATGATAATAATCCAGGGAAATAGCAGTAAAAATGGTGAGATGTAGAAATATTTTAAAGTGAGAGCTGAAGATACATGCTAACAGATGAGAGGTACAGTGTGAGCAAGAGAGAAGTCAGAATGAAGAAGTCAGAATGAACCAAAAGTGTTTAGCCTGAGAAAGCAGAAGGATGAGGGGCCAGCAGTTAGTGTAATGGCTATGTCACTGAACTCCCATGTAGTCGACTGTGGTTCAAGTCCTGAATCTGGTGGTTTAAAATCATGCCAGGCACATGTGTTTGCATGCCCAAGATCCTGAGAGGAGAGTGGAGGAGAAGGGATTGCGGCGTGGCTGTCCCCCCGGGGGGTGATTTCTCGCTTTCTGTCTCTCTGTCTCTGTCTTTCTGGTGAGCACACGTGCCCTATAGTAAAAACCTACCCCCCCAAAAAAACAAAGCAGAAGGATGAAATCATCATTAATGAGAATGAGGAAGACTGGGAGGAGCAAGTTTAGAAGAAAGATTAGGTTTCCATTTCAACATATAATTTAAGATTAGAAGGACCAGCAGATGGTGTAATGGTTACATCACTGGATTCCCATGTAGTCGACTGTGGTTCTATTCCCATACCCAGAGGCTTGAACTCACACTGGGCACGTGTGTGTGTGTGTGTGTGTGTGTGTGTGTGTGCCCAAAATCCCAAGAGGAGAATGAAGGAAAAGGGATTGTGGCATGGCCATCACCACTGGAGGGTGATTTTTTTGCAGTTTCTTTGTCTCTCTCTGTATCTCCAGTGAGTGCACACACCTTAGAGCAAAAATCTCTCAAAAAAAGAAAAAAAGAGATGTCTATTAGGTATATAAACGAAGATGCTTAGTAGGCAGTTAAATACTAGAATTTAGTTTCAGAGATCAGACTGGAGATATAAATTTAGAAGTCATTAATGTAGAGGATTTTTAAGCGAGGTACACCAGGGGTTGGAAAAACCACACTAGGCAAAGAACTTGCATCAAGATCAGGACTGAAATACGTTAATGTGGGTGATTTAGCTCGAGAAGTCTGATCTGATCACCGGATATCATGGAGTCTGGCAAGATGACTTCTCCCAAGAGCATGCC